TGTGTCTTGATGGATTCACCGGTCAATGTGTACATGGTTCCTCGTGAGGATTTAGGGACATCAGAGGATTTTGCGGGTGGTTTTGCCCTCCCCCGATTAGAGGTAAATGGCGAGGTAGAGGACGTAGGAGGGCAGCGAGATGGACTCAGGAGTCAGCTACAAGTCGGGGTTTGATTGTGCTTACCGATATAGTGGTTGAGTTGATAATGGACAATCGGGGACTACAGAGGACGGTGGCAGCCCTCACTGAGAGTGATGTGGATAGTAGTAAGTGGCTAGAATCAGTTGGGCGATTGCTGAGCGGTATTACTGCTCTTGGCAGGACAGTGGCAGGACCGTCAGTTCCAGTTGGTATATGATTAGGCACTCCTACTATTCTAGTGTGACAAGCCCGATGCGGCGGCATACGAGAGAAAGGTTTAGGAGGAAAGGAGCAGTTAGTGGTAGGTTCAGCTTGAGGGGGAGGAGGTCATTGTTTCATGGTCGTCGATGTTTTGGGACGCAGAGGCTCCTTTAGCAAGCAGCTGTCGGTTACTGTTCCTGCACTTGGTGACCCTGGTCCGTTGAGCTGGCAGTCGGTGAGTTGTTATGGGCACAGACAGTGAGGGCATGTGATTCAGAGCTATCCATTTTCTCGAAAGACAGTTCGAGTGATGAGGGCTTGTTATTGTTGTGGGCCAGCAGGGACATGTTGCGAGAGATTGCCCATGTTCGTTAGAGGCTGTTCTGGCTGTAGATACTACGTCACAGACCAAGGGGTCGACAGTTGGGGAGCCGTTAGGTTCACGTGATCAGGGGAGGGATGATAGAGATGGAAGCAATGGCTAGGCGCCTACTATGGCTATACGTATGATTTCTGTTTATTTTCTTGAGACCTGTGCGTTACTCGATTCTAGTTTTATTTATTCGCTATGTCGATGAGTTTCTGGCCTGATTGGGTAAATAGCTGGAAATGTTAGAGTATCCGTTTTCTTTAGTGACTTTAGTTTGAGGGCAAGTCTGGGAGACTCAGATGGGTAGTTCTTGCTCGGTTAGTATTAAAAATTTGAGGATGATTTTTTGTAACGAGGGAAGAATGTAATAATTGAAAAAAAAAATCTAGCCGAAAGTCGGCCGAAGCTCCCAGAAAACAATCTGCTGCAATAGGAGCTAAACAACTCAAAATCAATTTTAAGATATTGTATATAAGGAAGATACGGATTTAGATGACTGATTTACTAAGAGATTGAGTGAAGGAGGAAGCAGAAAATCGAGCTAGAAGCCGCGGCACCGACAGGAGGATTTTCTGGAAATTTCAGGTGATTACTTGAAATTGTTCTGATTAATCATTGTTGTGGGGCTCAGAGATCATGGGGATTGTTTCGGAAGCGTCAAATTGCTTGGGTGAATCAAAATTTAGGGGTTTCGTGGCCCAGGGGTGTTCGGGTTTGGGAGTTGCAAAAGCCAAGTGAACCACCCAGGTTTCCGGGTGACAGGGACAGACCTGAACTGTTCCAGGTCTGATTGGGCTTTGACCGGTCCAGTCCAACTCTGTTGGGTTGGAACGGCCGGTTCAAGGGGTTTTTGAACCCTGATTCGGGAACCAAGCCCGATTCCTAGTCCAGGGAAGAGAGAGGAAGGCTTTGGGACTGGTTTCGGGGCTGGAACCAGTCCAGTTCAAGGGGGTTTGGGGAAAAGTGGTTAAACCGGCCGGTTTTTGAGGAATTGAGGAGGGTTCAGGGCATTAGGGTCCGGTTCAATGGGTTTTCTGGGGAATTTTGACCGGTTTAGTCCGATTCTGCATTATTGGAGTTGGGTTCTTGCGAGTTTAAGCCCGGTTCATTCCGGTTCACCTCGATTTATGAGAATTTAAGCTTGATTTGGCTCAGTTCACGGGAATGGGGCCCGGTTCAACATGAATTTCAGGGGGTCTTGGCCAGTTCAGTCTGGTTCTCTGTACTTAAGGATCAGTTCTCCATGGGCTAGGACCTGGTTCATCTCGGTTTAGGTGGATTTGAGCCCGGTTTGGCTCGGTTTGGTCTGGTTTATGGGAAATGAGCCCGGTTTAGCCCAATTTAGTGGGGTTTTGGTCGGATTTGGTCAGGTTGTGATAGTTTACTGTTAGTTTAGGTCGATCATTAGATTCGAGAATTTGGTTCGAGCCCGGTTCATGTTTTTGGGATCGGTTCATTTGGTTTACGAAATTAGTGGCATTACGAGAGGGGTCTCGGGGTGCGTGTCGGGGGCCTAGTCGAGGGCTTGGATCCCGATCAGCTTTTGATTATTTAGATTTTTAGAAATAAATTCCGATTTTGGTTCTAACATACATGTCGGTGATTGTAGATACTCCGGAGAAAGCACACATTGGTCTTTGAGTCGTCTGTCTTAGTTCAGCATTTGATTTTGACGTGCTGAGTGAGTGACAGTACTCTCTGTACTTGTGTTTGCATTCTGATTTTCTGTTAATTTCTATATTTTGATTTCTGAACCATGTTATTATTTTCGGTACATGTATCTATCTGTTTTAGAGTATGATAAGTTTGAAATTATTTCTGTAATCACTTACATATGTCTCTACCTTAGTGATATGTGTGTTAATTGCTAAGTAAATCTATTATGAATTTGTATGTGATTCTAGCTTTCTGGTTCCAACTCTGGCTCTGATTAAGGGTGCCACGGACTCTGCCACCGGACGGTTGGCCGCCATAGCGTGCTGGGAGGCCTTGGGTCTGTACGGTTGGCCGTTATAGCGTGCGGGGAGTGCCCTGGGCCCAAGGATGTGATAAGTGTCATTCTGATTCTGATATGTAATTCTGGTTCTGGCACGGGATCCCAGTGCGACATATGTGATATGTGACTCTAATTCTGATTCTAGGATGCCAGGGGCTCTACCGTTAGGCAGTTGGCCACTGTAGCACGAGAAGTGCCCTGGATCTACCTGTGACTCTGATTCTAATTCGAGATGCCAGGGACTCAGCCGGCAGACGATAAGTCATCGTAGTGTGCGGGAAGTGCCCTGGGTCCGTACGGTCGACCGTCGTAGCGTGCGGGGAATGCCCTGGATCCTTATGTGACTTTGATTCTGACATGTGTTATGTGTTATATTCTGATACTCTGATTTATTTCTGATTCCCTGATTATGACTATGCATATGAAATTACATGTATTAACTGAAGCAATGTGAATTCTGTAAACGTGTTGTTACTGGACTGATACGTGAGTTTTGAATGATTTCAGTTCCTGTCTCGATATGTTCAGATAGTACTGTCATTCACTAAGTTATATACTCATTCCTTTTTCCCCCACCTTCCAGATTTCAATTCTGTTTGGCAGCAGTAGCTCCTACATCAATTCCGTCATAGCTACACTGATCCTGTACGGGCACCTTCTGTATATTTATCTTCTTGTACTTTAGACGCTCCGTGCATAGTCCGAATGTGTTCTGTCATGTATAGTGGTAGTTTTTTGATAAGATGTTTTATTTGTTTCATTGTGGTCAAAGACTTACTAGGGTTAGTACGCCAATCCTAGTACCGGTCACGCGCTCTAGCTGGAGCGTGACACTGGTCTGATTTATAAACTTGACAAACTAGCTTATATAATTAAGATACATAAAATATATATTTTAAATATAACTTAATAACAAAAATTATATATTTATATAATATAATGTAATGTATAATATATGTTTTTATAGTTTAAATTTGTCTCACTTAATAAATTAATAAGTTAGATTAGACTTTATTAGTTTTACATATAAGACAGGCTAAGACAAATTTTTTAACCCGTTGTAGGCTATGAGTTAGGCTCAAAATAATAATTTTTATAAAAGTTTGACTTTTTAAATTCTTTATTATAAAATTTAGAGCAAATATAAGAGAAGTAAAGCGAGTATAGAGATAAAAGTAAAGCAAGTATAATAAAAAAATAACAATCTCTTTCTTCTTTATTCCACCACATATTCTATTGACTATTTCTCCAATTTATAGGAATACAAAATAACCCTTAAATTACATGACATAAATAAGAGAATATGTATCTATACATATATTTATGAAGAAAAGATATATGTATCTACATATACATACATGAAAGGAGGATGTATCAATATTATATATAAATATAATTTCACAAATCTCTAAATAAATTGGGACATCTATCAATCTTTTAATATTTATGACATTCTTATCATTTATTTTCACACTTAGTAGAGACCAGGCTGCGAACATCTAGAGAGAGGCATCGAAGACGTAGGGGCTAAATTAGGTAAAGAAAAGCACAAATATAATTAGGTCAAAATTGTCTGTGATAATTAAAAAAAAATCAAAATTGCACGCAATATTTATTAAAGATATTATGCTCATTTTGCAAGGTGGAAAAACCCATTTCTGGTATTATAACTTCTACACATGTAGAAAGAGCTTGCACACGAGTTTAAAGTAAAACATTCAAATTTCAAATGAGTCCTTAAATTTCTTAAGATTAATATTTAAAAATAAATATAAAATGTTTTACAATCAAAATAGTTTATGTTTAATTCTTAATATATCAAATTAACATGTCTACTTATTCCTTATTTGCCTAACTATTAAAGATATTTGTGTGCTTCTGTTTCTCAAATCTTTATTGAAGAAACCTTAACATATCATAGGAGTTTACAATAAACAACTAAATGAGGTTTTCTCGATATTGAAATATATTAAATGGATTAATTCAAAAAGAGTAACCTACGCCCTCCAGTACATTAAAGTAATATACCTGCACCCTAGCATTGCCAGAAAAATTGCCAAACCTGCAAATTAATTAAATTAATATGTGCATCGTCTTTTTCATTACAATGGCTGCCGCCATCGTCATCATCCTTTTTTTTCTTCTTCTTCTTCTTCTTCTTCTTCTTCTTCTTCTTCTTCTTCCTCCACCATGTCGTGCCTATAAATTAGAACCTCAATGACCAACTCCTTCCACACAACAACTCTCTCCCTTTTGTTCCAACTTATTTTCAATTCTTGGTGAGAGTTGAAATGGGTTTTAACACTCCAGTTTCTGCCATTTTTCTCGCTGTAAACCTCCTCTTTTTCGCTTTTGTTACTTCCTCAAGTGCACAATCAGTGCCAACCCCAAGCCCTTCGCCTACTTGCAGCATAAATAACCTTCAGGTTAAAGGCCTGTGCGCCAAGTTCTTGCTTCCGGGGTTACTGAATATCACCGTGACAGTTCCTCCAACCTCCCCGTGCTGCTCCTTGATTAGTGGCTTAGCAAATATTGAGGCGGCTGCATGCCTTTGCACATCCCTTAAACTCCCACCTCCTATTACCTTAAACATCAATGCCACTTCTCCCGTCAATTCGGTCCTTAGGGGCTGTGGAAAGAATTCCCCTCCAAACTTCACTTGTGTGGTCTGACGGCACTATTTTCTCTTTTCTTGTCTATGTTCACTCGTCCGAAGCAACACGTATGCATGGCCATGTTCCATCTATAAATTAAATAAGGTTGCATGTTGTTCCTCCTTTTGAAGTTGTTATATGAATAAGTTCTTGGTCCTCTTTGGACCTTGATATGAATGAAAGATGTTATGTTTTGTTTATATATTTCTTGTTTTGTACTTTATTATATTCCTTCAATTGGTCATACTTGATTATGAGTTTGAGATATATAAATTTAAAAAAAACTTTATTTTGATGTTTCACGAAGGGAAAATAAAGATGATAAAGTCAAAGTTAAGTAAATGATAGTATAGTAAAAGAAAAATGGCTAAAAATGTCTATTATGCATTTGCACATTTTTTTTGAAATATTTCAAAAACAAATTCTGAACAAACCAACTATTGTAAATATATGGGAGCCTTTCTTCAATAACAAAATATAAATATGTAGAAATTCAAAAATGCTCATCAACTAAGCTGGCTTAAGAGTAGGGTCATCGATTCAGTCTAGCCTAACCCTTTCAAATTGGCCCATCTTGAACCAACTTGGCTTGGCTCAAAAATGTTTCGAACCAATATTTGACTAGCCTAGCTGGCCCTATGAAGGCTATGGGCTGTTCGGCTTAACTTGCTAACCTGAATTATTTTTTTAGTTTAACTATTAAAGGCAAATATTGATTTCTTGTTTACACAATTACACTTTTGTAATTTATAAGATTTATCTCCAATTGGCACATAGCAATTACAAAGATAATTATACTTCACAAATAGATAATTAAGTTTATACAATTCAACAATATATATATATATATATAAGTACCCATAATATCATGAGAAAGAAAAAAAAATCACTTTGGGAGCATCCGGATGGCTTGTGTAGCTATGCTTCTCTTCTCAATGTGGCTTTGTACTTTCTGTTGGTCACAAGCTTTACATCACCCTTTGTATATAAGGAGAAACATATAGAGTTTTCATAATATAAAATTTTACAAGCATTACAATATCCATTTTATTTTCACTTTTGTAATATTCAGTAGAATGTTAAAGAAAAATGTAAATGGAGTGAGTTAGGGTTTAACTTAAATTATTCAAATTTATCTATGTGCAACTGGGTTCATGTTTTTGTTTTTTTTTTTAATTTATATATAAACATAATAACAAAAATATAAATTTTATTAAATTTTAATTTGTGAAAAAGTGTTGGGCAGAGGGGACATCAAATTTATCAAATTTATTTGGGCCACTTGTATTAAACCAATCCATTTTAACCTGGACCCAAAGATTTCAGGCTTGCATTTCATTAGCCCAGCTCAGCCATTCATTGGATTGTTGGGGCCGGTACCCTGGAGTCAGCCCATTTTAACGCTCCTACTTAAGTCTAAATAAGCTAATTAGTTTACAAGATTGTGGATTTTAATTAAATATAACTTCAATTTGTTCATATTGCAGACAAAATGAATGTAATCCTAGTAATTGGTTTTATTAAAAATAATATTTAAAAATATAATATGATAGTTTGTCTAGTTTTTTTTTTTTTTAATTTCAGGACTGAATTGCACAAAATATCTAAATATAAAAATTTTGAATAAATAATATGAAAATTTTAGAATATTTGAAATATATATATATATATATATAATTTAGATAAAAAGAATTAAGAAATGGAAGAAAATAGTTCGTCTGGGGAAGAAACTCCCCACCAACCAGATGAAGAAAATAATTGAGGACAATCGTGGAAATCCTGCTAAAGGGTATTTCTTCCTGCATGTGCTTTGCCTTGTTGTTTCGTATTCTGTCCTTGTCAAGTCTTTTGTTTATTTAATGTAAACATTTGGGACAATTATTCATCATTTTTCAGTACATATGTTTTTAATTAATTTAGATTATTATCCTCAAATTAAATTATAAATTTAATTTTTTTCAAAATAATTTTAATTATCCATAACAATAATGTGAAAACTCCAAATTATATTTTTTTTAAATAATTTCCTCAAAACTCTTCCTTCCTTCTCTCCGTGTTGCAAAGCTTTATTTACAGAGATCTACACCTGGACAGAGCTCTACAACAAAGTTCCGTCCAGTTTTTTCTTAATTGACCAATTTTCTAACTAAAATTGGTCATCTAAGGACAAATTTCTCAACATAAAAAATAAAAAACACATTTTCATAAATAAATTTCAAGAAACCTATTTTAATGTTTAAATTTTCCAAAATGGTAATCGTAGGTTTTTGTCTTTTAATTTGTTAAAATAGTCAGTATTTATTTTTATTATATTTTACTTCATTTTTTCATTAGTTATAATTTCTATTTATTTGAATAAGATTAGATTGTTTTAATTCTTATGCTTAGTAAGTTAGTTAGAGATAAATTCTTCATGGAAGTGATATTTTATTTATCATTATATTACTTATATCTCTAAATTGTGCAACACATATTAAATAAGATAATAAATATAATTATTAGTTGTCACAATATGTGTACTTATAAATTGTGCAGCACATATTAAATAAGATAATAAATATAATTGAATTTACAAAAGCATTTTTGTCAATTATAATAAATTAGATAACAAATATTCATGAATTGAATTGAATTAATTTTTAAAAAACTCAAAGTTAATCATCATTTTATATCTTTTTGCATTAATTTTATATTGGGAAAGGCATGATTAGCCTATCTTGAAATGTCTACAACAAATTGTTAAATCATAGCCAGGAACTTCTCTCTAAATTAATAAATTACCGGCACACAATCAAATTCATTCACAATTCTATATATATATATATATATATATATATTAAATCTAAAGATAATTAAAGTTTTCAAAAAATAGAAGCAATTTGCGAACACAAATTTTATTACCATAACATAAAGCTAATGTGGTATTGGCTTTTCAAAATTTTTTACTAGCTTTTATTTTCCTCTTACTAAGCCTCTCTCCATTTTCTTTTTCATTTTCACGTCACTCACTCCTTCAAGCCAGCAGAACCAAACCCTAATACCATTCGTGCCATCAGTATGTTATCACTAAGGTCATGTCCAATAGATATAAGAGTTCTCGATGCGTAGGAGGTGGATATTAGCTTCAGACTTCCTCTCACTTGCAACCCCTTAATGGCTTGGCACATGTTGAGGCAGCTGTTTGCCTTTTTAAGGAGGCAACACCGTAGTCTCAGTGCCACCCCTGGCTATTGCTGCTATTTTTATTGCCCGTGTAAGGAGTCTTCTTTTTGGCTTCACTTGTATTTGATTAAATATGTAAGTTGTTTTCCTGCCTTTAGAACTTGTTATATGAATCATGAGCACTTGTCCTTACTTAGATTTTCATGCCTACATGAAAAGACAAGCAAATTACGAATAAAATCAAAGGAGATTCAAGAAGAGAGAGAAACGAGAGGATGGTAATCCCAACTTCATAAACATAGTGCATGAACTAGATATTAGAACAAATCATAAGCATCATGTATATATGCGAAGAAATTGTATTTGTCTTTCTCATTTAAATGGTACAAGAGGTACAAATATATACATAGAGTTTCTATACAATTTAGGAAGGTTTTAAATTAGAGAATCCCTAATCTTCTGTATAATCAAATCAATATCTTCCACAAATCCTATACAATCGATATTCTACACAATTTTTCCATAACACCCCCCTTAAATTGGAATATTGATGTTAATCATGCCCAATTTTTTACAGATATAATCAATTGAACTCCATTATGTGCTTTCACGAAAATATCTTGTAATTATTCTCCAGTCTTAGCATGCCCTGTTGAAATAATCTTTTGTTGAATCTTTTTACGAATAAAGTTACAGTCTGTCTCAATATGTTTGGTTCATTCATAGAACACAAGACTATAAGCAATATGGAAAATAGTTTGATTATACATCCAGAAGTTGATGTAACAACATTACTTCCAATATCAACTATCATAGCTCAATATTCTGATTCAGTGTTAAAATGAAATATTATACTCTATTGTTTACTTCTTCATGATACTAAGATTCCACCAACAAAAACACAATATCTTGTAATTGATCTTTTATCAATTTTCGAATCTGTCTAGTTAACATTAGAACAACAATCAGCATTTGAATATCCATGATTACTATATAACAAACCAAGCCCAAGGGTTCCTTTCAAATAACACAAGATTTGCCCTCGAGTCTTCAATGAGTGATAGCGAGAAAGGATATAAACTAACTGACAATACTAATAGTGCAAGCAATATTTAGATGAGTAACTATGAGATACTTCAACTTGCTAACTAATCTCCTACACATATTGAGATCTTTAAATAACTGACCATCTCCAACTTTTAGTTGATAATTTGGTGTCATTAATGCACTACAGGGTTTAACACCCAATTTTCCTATTTTTGCCAGCAAATCAAAAATATATTTTCTTTGAAATAAGAAAATACCCTTTTTGCATCTCGTAATCTCAATACCCAGAAAATACTTGAACAATCCCAAGTCTTTGGTTTGAAAATAAGTTTGAAGAAACAACTTAAGTGATGTGATTCCTAAACAGTCACTCCCTGTAATAACAATATCATCTATATATTCCATCAGTAGGATTAGACTAGTTTCAAAATTTTTATAAAACATTGAGTGATGACATTTACTGTTTTGCATACCACTGTTGTACTATCTCACTAAATCTCCCAAACCGGGCTTGAGGACTCTACTTTGAACCATAAAGAGATTTTCAAAGTTTGCAAACTTAAATCTTTTTCTCTTGAACAACAAAACCAGGCGGTTGTTCTATGTACACTTAATCATGTAAATCACCAGTAAAAAGAGCATTTTTGGTATGCAACTGATGTAAAGGCCAATCATGTATTGATGCTAAAGAGATAAACTGACAAATAAAAAAAGTTTGGCAATAGGAGAAAAGGTATAAGAATAATCAACCCCAAAAATGTGGCCCTAGCCTTTGGCCACGAGACTGGCTTTTAATCGAGCTATAGAAT